TGACCGGTCTCGGCTCTCCGGTCGCGTTCCTGACCTCAGTCCATCGGTACATCGTACCCGACGGCTGTCTGGTGATCGCTTCTAGCTACGACTGGGCCAACAGCGGTCTGGACCAGGTGGGTCGGTCGAGTCGTGGCCGGCGAGATATGCATTATGCAGAGAACTAGGCGACCGACAAGGTGGCGGAGATGTGGTGCTAGGTGTTCGTGGATGTGTGTTGATTCCGTGTTGCGAATGATGGTCTTAACGATGCCATAACCTTGGCCCGTCGTCCACTGTTGTTATGGCTCATATGTCTGTATTTTAAGACTAATCTTCTGAATCCGGGAATACGACACGACTTCTCTCGGCTCCAAAGACGTTTAAGTGGACAGAAATCCGCTCTAGCTGCTTAGGAGGATTACCTACATTCACTGTCAATCCTGGAGACACAACCCTCTCACGAGCTTTTCACCCAAGCCCTCAGATTCTTGGTTACGTCATAAGACTCAACGACCTTTGCACGACCACGCACCACCCAGCGGGCGAGAGCCCCGCCGTACCTACCTTGATCGAACTACTTGCCGTTGTCCGGATGGTTCTGTTAGGCATAGGGGATGTACTGAGTCGGAGCTGGAGCCGGAGCCGGACCATTTTACTCGGAGCCGGAGCCGGAGCCGCCATGACATTTCACCCGGAGCCAGAGCCGGAGCTGGAGCCGATTTTTTTCTCCGGAGCCGGAGCCGGAGCCGTCTGAGATTTTCACGGCTCCGCATCCCTGGACTAGACCCTTCGCCTCACTTACATTTAGCGATGTAGCTTCGTTGATGGTGCGCCCTGTCACACCAAATCAAGCCAAACTAAAACCCACTAACGTTCACTCTCCTCCACCGACAGCGTGAGTGGCTCTGTGGCGCAGAGGACGAGTCCACCTTCTACGCCCTTCAGACGCTACTGGAGGCGCACTTTGACTGCGTGGCGGCCAACGAGCGGCTATGTCGCCTGCAGCCGCTCACTCTGAGGACGTACACGCTGTCACTGCCCGAGGTACGGTGGTTGGGAGTTTGTGTGATGTGCTGTCAGGCACTGCTGAGCTCCGGAAGAGACGTGGAGTTGGATGTGTACAACTCCATTTGTATTTGGATGCTGTTGTTGTAACATGTCTGATGTGTATTGTATGTGTGGTCGCTGGAGTAATTCCATGATGTATTTTATGCTACATTTGATTGTTTAGCTAGAAGTTTTAAATGTGTGCTTAGTGTAACGTCTATACTGTTTGTAGTGAGATCGATGTTGCACAGCGTAGTCGAGGTCTCTGTGGCGGCATCCGTAACTGATCGTTTGTCTGCCGCCAGGTGTCTGTCTGGCGTCGCAAGCATGACAGAGAGCAGGTCTAGGATGGCGTCCGGCTCGTCCAGGGAGTTTGCGCCGCCGCCGCCGAGCAAGCGGCCGCGCCTGCTGTCGGAGCCGGGGGACGGCGACGACCCGCTCTCGGCCGTGTACGCCCGCGCGCTGCTCGGCTGCCTGTGTGACACCGAGGAGGCGCAGCTGGCCGCCGTCCCCGCCGCGCTGGACGACGGCGAGCCGCGCCGCCAGCTGCTGGCGCTCAGCTGCGTGCAGCTGCTGCAGCAGGCGGCGCAGCAGCAGCTCCAGGCCGGTACCATGTGTGAGCGGCTGCAGGAGGGCGTGTGCAGCCCGGCAGAGCTGACGCCGTCTGAGCCGCTGCTGGCCCTGCTGGCGCGCGACAGCCCGCTGCTCAGCTGCGCGGCCGGTCGGTGTCTGACGCTCTCGGCGCTGCTAGTGACCCCGGAGCGCGCCCAGCCCGTGGTCGAGGCGCTCGTGGCCGCCGTGCTCGACTCGGAGCGGCCGCTGGAGGTGAGCCACGCGCTGAACGCGCTGCAGCGGCTCATCGAGCAGCACGACGAGGAGCCGGGCGCCGGCGGCGGGCGGCCGCTGCCGGCAGAGTGTCGCGCCGTCAGCGTGGCCGCCGACCCCGAGTCGCTGGCCGAACTCAAGTGTGCCATCACCGCTCAGCTGGAGAACCGCTGGATACCGATCACGCAGCGCTTCTGTCGGCTACTGGCGCGGCCCGAACACGAGACCGAGGTGCTCGCCTTCCTCAGACTCTGGGCCACCGTCATATCGGTAAAGAACAATATGAGTATCGCTGAGACCAAGTCTCTTTACGCCCGACTGGAGTGGCTGCTCAGCTCGTTGGGCAATGACGCGTCGCCGCACGTGTGGCGAGCGGTGCTCGATCTGTACAGTGAGGTGCTCTGTTACGGCAGCACCATCGCGCTGCAGGACTGTGTGGCAGAGGAGCCGGCCGGCCTGGCGCACGCGCTGCTGCGTCAGGCGCGCACCGGCCGGCTGCTCGAATTGGTGCCCTACGAGCGGGGTGTGCGCGCGTTCGCCGGTACGGACGGAGAGGCGGCCGGTGACCGGCCTCTGCTGCAGAAAACTGTGCTGCTCGTGCTCAAAGCGCTGGCCGTGACGGTGAAAGAGACTCGGTGTGACAGCAGCAGTGACGCGTCGGCGCGGTCCGCCGGCGGCTCCGGATCAGAGGAGCAGGACATGGTGATTATAGAGCGCACGCTGCGTGAGGTGGTGCGCCGGCTGGACTGCTGGATCAAAGCGCGGCTCGACTTTCACCCGGAGACACCAATGAGTGAGTGGGCCGTGGTGCTGCTCTGCGATCAGGACGATTACCTGGTGGAGGCGATGCTGTGTATGCTGGACTTGAGTAACGGCCTGGCGGGCCGCGTGCGCCTGCCGCAGGACTTTGAGCGCGCCATCTGCCCGCACCGCAGCTTCGTGCAGTTCCTGGAGACGGTGCGGCGAGACCACGACCTGCTGCTCGACTTTCTGGTGTCGAACGAGACCTGCTTCCTGCTGTACCTGCTGCGCTACCTGAAGGCGGCGCGCCGCAGCTGGCCGCGCCTGGTGGCCGTCTGCGGGCCGCGCATGGAGGAGCTGATGACCGTACTGATCCGGCTCCGCCTCTCCCTGGAGCGGCTGGTGGCCAGGGATCTGTTCCCCTACAACGTGGCGCCGCTGCTCAAACTGCTCGAGAAGTGCGAGGAGCTGCATGAACACAACGGACAGCCGGAGCCGGGGCCGTCGTAACTGCGCACTGACTAGACGGTGGGAGGAGCGAGTGATCAAACGCGCGTGCTATAAGTGGTGGACGCTCCGGGTGACTGGGCCACGGACCATCGCCACGGGACCGCGGACCGCCGAAGCGGTGAGGTAAGTGATGAATCTCTGCCCGGGGCGCCGCAGTGCGCGCGCGGCGGACGGGCGGTGCCCGCCGGGACACGCGGACTGTCTACCTCTGTTGTTCGGTCTCGGTTAGTCCCGCCTGCCCGAGCTCACCACGCGGAAGGCTCGGATGACAGCGGTGTTACACTCGCTCGCTTTAAGGATCCAGCGTATGACGGTGAATGGGACCGATGAGTGGTTTGCTAACCATGTTATCTAAGGAGATTTTGTCGAGTCGTGTTTCAGTGCCGCTCCCTAGGAGCCTGCCTTTTGATGATAGCTCGGTTCACACCGCGTACAGAACCATGACATATATAGTTACATGCCGAACCAAGGACCTCAGCGGCAATTTGTGTTGGTGTGGAACGAGTTTTATTTGCTCGGTGCCATGATAAGTCATGTGTGAGAGTAATTAACTGTGATGAAATATCGCAGCTTGTTGCATTTTTGTTCGCTTTATTCAGACATTTGTAGTTCTCTATCTGTGGTAGTCTTTTCTCTAAGTTCCAGGATGTCGGACCTGAAGGATAGCAGAAATTATATTTAAATGCATGCCTAACTCCGGGCTTTAACTGGCATAGACCTTCTTATCCGACTAGTAAGACATTATATCGTGTTCAACTGTTCAGCCCCCCCCCCCTCACCCCGGCTTCTCGAAATCTGCTTACGTGTGTCAGGATGTCTTGAAATTCGTTTCGGTCGTAATGTTGAGCGTTACCCTAGCGGCCTGTGGGTCCCTTATCCAGGTGGTGTGCATTTTCTAGCTCCCTTTGGAAGACTCGCGCTCCGGCGCACCTCAAGTCTGCTCTGTTCATTTGCCTGTGCCATGCCCGTTGTTTGTGTTTGCAGAAGTCTGTCCCGTTATTGTTTGCTCTGTGATGTCCAGTGTTTGTGTGAGGCTGCTGATTTGCGTACTTGGAATAGATCTGGCATACGCCACAACGATAGCTCGTTGTTTGCCCGGTCTGGGATGGGGCGTATGCGTATCTCAGAGAGGAAATGGTATCCAGGCTCCTAAATCATCATCGCTGGGCCTGACGAAGCGACATAGCCGTGTAAACGTTAGAGCCCCTGCTCGCCATGCGCTGCGGCCTGTCCGTATATTTATTGGTCCCACGACGCCCCCTAGTCCGGCCGGTCACGCTCTCCGTTTATTGATTCTGGTATATTTTACTCTGAGTGGGCGCGGTGTGTGAAGGTCATTTGGTGCCCTCGGTCTGGCTGTATCGGGATAGTCAGTGTGTGCCTGGTCAAAGCGGTTTAAACTGGATCGGAGGGACTTTGGTTTTGTTTGTAGGTTGGTGGGCTATCAGCCGGCAGTACAAGGTAGGCTAAAAAAGGACGGACTGTATAGCTCTTGTTTGTTCGCTTCGAGGACTGCTTTTTAAGAGTGTGTTAGCACAGACCCAGTGGCCAACGACCCCTGAGCTGTCCACTGCGGAGTGCTGACCTTCGGACAGTCTGACGGGTCTTTTGTGCAGGACGAGAGGTGCTCTGTAGACGCGACCTGCTCCCGAGGGCCAACCTTCAAATTTGAGCGTGATTGCGATAGCCTATGTCCACTTGTAGCGCGGGGCAATACCAATTAAAACCCACTTCAGCGTGCTGCGGATCGGACGCGATTATGGCGTCGCGAACGCTTGATGAAATCGATAAATGTAATCGGTAAATAAGCAATGAATTGCATAATGCTAGATTCTCCTACGCCTTCGTAGTGCCTGTGATTGTGTAAGCCGCATCCTAGTAGTATCAAAAACATGTAAAAAGGATCTTGTATTAGGAGGTCGGGAGGCGATTCGTCATGTTCATTATTCAGTTACACGTTGTTAAACTAGTCTTCCTAAGATTAAGTTCCTGTTGTCAATGGACTGGACTGCTAGGCATGTTCGTTGATGGATGTTGTTCTGGTCATGCAGCGTGCTTTGGGAGCATGCTTCGGCCTTTGGGTTGGGTCTGACCGCTCGGGCCTTCCTAACAGGTCGGTTTTGGGCATTTAACATTGGTCATCTGACCTGCCATCATCTGTTTGTCACTTGTATCTGATTTGAGTTTTATACTTTCATTTCGTCATCGTCCTTAATTGCGGGCCAGTATATGCTCTTTTATTTAATGTTTTAGTTATGTCCTTTCGCTCTAAACCCAAGACAAGACTCCTATCCTAACCTCGTCCCTCGAAGAGAGTCCCTCGTTACCTCGTCCTACGCCGCCCTTTAGCCCTGTTCCCTAGGTAAAGTTCACTGTGTCCTGTCAATCCCTCAGTTCCTGATGGCATACACCTGATGACGTATGACATATGATCTGTGCCTCAGGGCGGCCCTCAGTCCCTGGTGACATACACCGTGTCGCCCACGGCCACCTCGCCCTCCTGGTCCACGGCCAGCGCGCTGCCCAGCAGCGGCGCCTCCTTGTACAGACGCCGCTCCTCGGCAGTGCGCGCCAGCCGGAACGTCCTCAGTGTGCGCAGCGGCTCCATGGCGTCACTGCGCTCGCCGGTGCTCGGGTCGACCAGCGTGATGCCGCAGCGGTGCACGGGCTTCACCCGGCGCAGCTGCGCGCCGCCCACACGCACCAGACGCCAGTCGTCGTCATCGAACGGCGCCGCGCCGCCGACGACGATGTTGTGTCGGAACTGGTGGACGGTGACCGGACTGGCCAGGCGCCGGTTGAGCTCGTCGATGGAGGCGTCGCAGATCACCGACAGGGGCGTGACGAAGTTGTATGTGACGGCGTCCTCGGGGTCGGCGAGGTGGACGTACGGCCGGGGAAGCTGAGAGGTGCGTCGCGGGGTGACCGCTCCGGGTAGGAAGTACATCAGCGAGTAGGATTTGCCGTCGGCGAAGAACTCCTGGAGCCACTGCGCGGCCTCGGGGCCGAGGTCGGCACCCGAGTCGGGGTGGCCATTCAGGTCGACTTCCATCATGGTCGCCTCACCCTCCTTCGGCAGCGGCACGGTCAGCGACTTAACCTCTGGCGCCGACAGCGTCACCTCGCCAGCACATATCTCCGCTGAGATGAGCACCAGACGTCGGCGCGTGCCAGCGTCCATCACCTTGCCACCACACACCACGGCCAGGCTGCGGTCGAGGGCGCCGTCCGCTGTCTGCAGACCTAGCAGGGTGACCCGGCCCCGCTGCAGCGGCTGGCCGGCGCCAGACTTCAGCGGGTACAGGGTGAGCGCCCCGACGGTGCCAATGGGTGTCCAGGAGCGTCGCTGTCGCCGCCGCGCCACTACCACGGCAGCAGCGGCGCCGAGCACCGCCAGAACGGCGGCGGCGGCCAGCAGCGGAGACGGGCGCGCGACCATGACCTCCCCGGACTAACACCGACAGGCGACTGGGACGGGATGAGCCGCGACCGGCCGCGCCTCAAGATTTGTGTGTGTGTTTAAGATCATGTGACTATCTGTACTGTCACGGCCTCTCGACCTTAGCGGTGTCGGCGGATGGCATTAGATGGGAACGATTGGACGGGCAAGATGAATACGGCATGGAGACAATCATGCACGGAATAACAAGTACTCGTAACTATGTCGGCCTTGCATGGTTCTGTCACTAGTAACTGGTTGACCGTCGCACTTCTTTGGCCTTCCAGCCTTATCATGACTCATATCGCTGTCCTGTTCCACTTCTTACCCTCCGTTGAATTTTTTTTTTTTTTTGCCTATTTCGACGGCCGACGCATTGCACAGCCACACCTCTTTTACTTTCAAACGCAGCCCTCAATTTTTTTTCCCCCCAGTGAATTTGAAGCCGCATGTGGGTGGCCCACACTTATCCCACAGTTATCGAAAACAAAACGCTTATAGCAATACGATCAAATATATTACGCAGTAAATAATTGACATATACTTGAATAATTAAAATTATATGTGGCATACATTACAAGAAACAATCACTATCAAAACAGCGAGCAAGCGAATAGATTACTCGCAAGTTTTTGCTGTCATTTAGAACATGACAAAGATGAAATCACAATATATGTAGATGATGATGACTATGAATATAATACACGATGAGAGTGATAAATGAATACTACAACGACACACGCTACAAACCGCTCAGAATGAGATCGAAATCGGCCTGAGATGGCAAACCCCAGCGATAGCAGACACACATATAAACGTTCGTCCATCTCAAACCTCCGACCATTATATACACACATTATATATCGCTTGGATAACCATGTGCACATTCTACATAACAAGTTGGTAAGCTAAAGGTAGCGTAATGTAGCTACAGTTTACAAACAGACGACGAAACCACAGTATCCAAAACAACCAGTGTCCTCTAACATTCACATGCCGACCACAGTATCCAAAACAACCAGTGTCCTCTAACATTCACATGCCGTGATGGCAATGCGATTGTTTGGTGTTCCTTTCTAATGCTGAGTTCATTCTCCAGAGAAAACCAGCGACTCTAATGCGGTGAAACCGCATAATCCGCATTTGTTTGCGGTCGGCGCCGTGCATCATCGCTGGTGACGTCACCGCTGGCCTGAATCCGCAGTGGGCTTGTCCGACGCGTCGGCGGAGACCGGTCACTGGCCGACGGCACGTGCAGGACTCTCCTTGGTGCCTCACTCGGCAGCTTCGGCCCGGCGAGTTAGCTCGGCGAGCTCTGTGACGAATGGACGGACGGCAGAGGCGGAGCGGGTGGCTGGTGGCGCCAGCTGGTGGTAAGGCCCGCGCCGATGGTGTACTGACGCCTGCTGACGGTCGGTGGCGTACCGATGACGTCTGGTGACGGTCGATGACGTCTGATGACGGTCTGGTGATGTACCGATGACGTCTGGTGACGGTCAGTGACGCCCGGCGACGGTGAATCTTGCCCTCGCCAAGGGTAGCGCTCACTGAGCCGCCACCAGTGGCAGGCCTCCTATCCGGACGTCGCTGAGGTCAGCTTTCAGCAGCATCTGCAAAGATGGAAGAAAACCCGTTAGGCTCGCACCACGAAGACAAAATTGGCGGAGAACAGACTCAAGTGGATTATCGACAATTTTAAGATCCAGGTACTGAACAACTATCACCAGGTGTGTTGCAGAGAGAAAAATAATATAAAATTGTTCGATGCATCGATAACGGTGAAAGCCAGACAGTCTAGATGGAGCTGAAAACTCAGGACAGCCGTTTCCCTTCTCCCCCACCCCGCCGCTCCCCGTGCTGCCTACCTCGGGCTCGGAGTCGGAGAGCTCCATATCCGACTCTGGCAGGGCGTCAGGCGCCGCTCCGAGCGACTCCAGCACCTCGGCCACATCGAGCCGGGCGTTCAGCAGCGCCAGCTGGTAACCACTCAGACCGCCGTACGTGGTGGCGCGCACATCAGCCTTGCACATCGTGGCCAGGAACTCGAGCATGACGATGTTGCCCGCCTCGACGGCCAGGTGGAGGGGCGTCCGGCCGCTCTTGCCCTCCATGCAGGCGACGTTGGCGCCATGGGAGACCAGGTGCGCCACCAGGCGACGGTCGCCAGTGAGCACGGCGAGATGCAGGCAGCTCAGACCTGTGGACAGAGGAGAGAGCGGTCAGCGGCGTGGCGAGGGCGACGGCGGGTCACGGGGGACGTGTACTGCGCCTGAGGACGGCGCTCGTGCGCTGTATGTTGATAGTTTGCTGGCTGTGGGCCAGCGAGGTCAGTAATTTGGTGTCACATATCACCCTGAGGGCATGTAGATCCGAGGCCGGCCGGGCGAAGGCCGCCACTATCTGGGCGCTATATTCCGGCCAAGGCTGCTGTGTATTCCGCGCGGAGAGCTCGGCCGCCGCAGAGGCTGTCCCGCGGACGGGGAGTGTCTGGGACAACCCCGGCCGTGCTGGGAAACCCGCCCGACTAGATCCCTTCTCCGGTGGATAGGCGGATCGGTGACCCATCCCCGGGTCTCCGGTAGCCTCTCTGACCGAGAGGAAACCCCGCTTGTTCTCTCTTTCGACATCGGACACTGATGGGTTTGTTAGATTTCCTCCGATCTCTCTCGCCTGTCCGTGACGACCGACAGCAGGTCAGTAATGGTCTCCGTGACATATCCGTGACGCGATCATCTCCGTGACCATCTCCGTGACCGTCTCGGCGGCGTGTCGGAGCGGCCTCCCGGTTGCACAGCAGCGGGAATTTCCGCGATGCATAACCGTGCTTGGCGGCGTGACTGGCCGGCCGGCCACCCCGTTGCCGGAGTCAAGATGCGGCGCGCGATCGCCGCATCTGTCTGCGGCGCGGGCGGCGAGACGTGACGCGGGGGCGGCCAAACGTGACGCGCCAGCTGAACTTTCGCCGTGATGGCGCGTGTTTTTCTTTGTGCAAGGATGGCAGATGGCGGATGAAAAGATGTGCCGAGGTCTGATGTAACAGACCCGTGTCACAGAACATTCGGCGACTGGGTGTTTTTTGTAGCGCCGCCTTGCACGCTGAACTATGCGCTTTCAAATTCAGCTGGCGGAATATTGAACTCGTGTGACCCGGGGTGGACTGGCGATGGATGACAGCACATCCTCCGACACTGGTCGGGGCGCTCGGGAAGCGCAGCAGGTCACCGACCCTGTTTTACATGCGGCCGTTTCGCCGGCGCATTGTTCCCAGATGGTTCTCTGGCGCCGCGGGAGTCCACGGCTCGGTCTCCGGCCGCCGGCGGCTCCGCTGTCGGCCGTGGAACGTCCCGAGCCGAGCGAAGGGCTGCCGCAGCTCCGCGCCGCGCCGCAGGGGAAACCGGCGTACTTCCCGGCCGCTGATGTCGGCGGCCGACTCGGAGAGGCGGCGGCCGGCGCCGTGTCAAAGCGGCCCTGATGGTGGGAGACCGCGAACTGCCCGGCTCGGGCGGGTTTTTACGGCTATTTGTCGACATCGACTGACGGGACGGCGGTGTCGGCGCGGCGGGGCGGCCCGACACTATAGCGTGGGAGCGGCCCCGCCGTCCCAGACACACGCCGCGTCACGAAACACCCCGTCAGCGACTGGGTGACATCGCCGGAAGGTCCGACGGGTAATGTTATCGTAGACCCAATGCAACAGGGCGGTGCATCTCAAATGGATAAACATTGTGTACATTGCTGATAAAAGGCATCATGTTTCTCCGTCTTTGAACGTTCTAGAACTCTAACGATGCGCAGTTTGTAGTCATCTGAGCCTTTATCACAACTGGACATGATGGTTCAGGTGAAACATGGCACATCACGCAATGTTTCAATTGAAACTTGTGGGGATCTCCCTTTGCAGTGAAATCTGTATTACAGATCAAACAACTTCACACACCGGCTGGTTTGTTCAGACTGAAGTTGTCAACCATTGGCTATGACTAGGTCTCTGGTCTAGCACCAGAGACCTACCACTCGGAAGCATGAGCTGTGCCTCACACAAAAGTGACAGCTAAAAACACCCCACATCCCTGAAATGTCAGCGCAACGGGGGAGTCCTTCCGCCCATGCGGGGTGAATCAGGGACGGCACTGCGGAGCCGGGGTCGGACGGTGGGGCCCCACACATCCCCAGAACGTGCGACGCACGGGACGCGAGGCTGAATCAGCGGACAGGCTCGGACCGGCCAGCAGAGCGACGCCCTATTTCGAGAGGGACAGCGCCAGATCTGGCGTTTTTGGCAGTCACCGGACGGAAAGACCCGTTAAAAATACGGTGCCGCGGCATTTCCGGTCCAACAGAGGACGTATTGGGGCAGAGAGACGGCCTGCAGCCGACGATCTGCTCCGGTGGCCGGAAGGGGGAGGAGCGGGGCGAGGTGGGGAGGAGGGTATGCGGTGGGAGCTGCGGGGACGCGGTGGGGGAATCTGAGCGAGTGTGGGGAACCATTCTGACGTGTCATCGAGAATACGATAGCGAGGCCACATGGACCCGCTTTCGGAAACAATCACATGTTTATAGGTCAAACGTGATGCCGAGTCTCTTGAATTTACAATTCAATGCTGATGCGAACGCACTGAGCCATGCGGGCTCCGTTCCCTGCCAAACAGGCTATGGCGTGATTGGTGGTGTTATGTAAACGGGCACCTCCAGGGAAGAACCTCGGGCAGGATTGACGGGCCAAGGCACGGGAGACGTTATCATTATCAAGGGCACGACGGGAGGTATGTATATTACAGGTAGGCTGGTCCCGGGGGTTCCCTATCCCGAACAGGCCTTCGTCGCTTCAGTGCGTCAAACGGCCATAAAATGGGTGGGAGATCACCTGCTCAAGATTTATTTATTATTAAACCGTCAGAACATGGGTCGGGGACTGTAAATCAATTTTTAATAATGCGCTTCAGTAAGCGGTAGGTTGGAGGGTTTGAAGTTACTTTAACTCAAAGTTGGTCTTAAATTAGCTCACTAAATGTCAGCTGCAACCCTCCGTTATTTCGACGTCTTGCATTGTTCGCGCTTTCAATAAGCAGTGGGAATAGCGCTATTTTCTTGCCATTGACCACTACGCCAACCAATAACTTCGCAACTTTCCTGATCGGGTCTTCCTCCTCCCGCCCGTCCGCCTGGCCCCTCGTCAGTGTCGCTGTTCGCCTACCTGTATGGGTGGCGTGACCCCTGCCCTGCCGCCGTGACCTCTGCCCTGCCATCGTGACCCCTGCCCCTTCGCCGGGGGCGGCCGGGTCTTTGGCGGCCTTCCCCGTCAGTTTCTGCTGACGTGCGGCACCCCGGTGAGTGACACAATGGACACCAAAGCGCTGAGCTCTTAGTCACGAGCGGCGGCCGGGAGTACACGATAAGGAGCTATCGTCCGCCGGGCCGGGCCGCGCCGGGGACTGTCAGGGAATACCGTACCGTGTCGCCCGATTGATCGACACAGAGCGTCGAGGGCGTTACGTCACAACCGTCACGTGAGGACCCGAGCGAGCCATCTTCAGAGGAAGGTCCTCTAAAGGGAATATACAATCGGTAAACAATTGATTGTGTCAAGATATGAATGTTTTAGGGTGAATACAAATCATTGACGGTTGAAAATCGATAATTTTAAACAAAAACCTGGAGAGCCTTTCAATAGCCAGGGACTTAAAAGGGAGCTTCCAATGTTTAGGCCTCATTGGTGATGCTTAACATATTATCAGTGAGCCGATTTGCCGCATAACACCAGACATATCCCTAAGCGGAGAAGCTTTTCGAGAATAGCTTAGCGCGATATGTCACAATAATCATACACGAGTCTGACTGCTATAACCTGATTTGGCCATATGACTGGCTCTGCTGTCTCAGCACGCGCCGACTGCGCTGAGGACGGGACTGTCCTGAGCAGGGCCGTAACCGCACAAAGAGCATGGTCGCGCGCCTGTCGAGCCGTGCTCGGTTTTATCCGCTGCTTTGTGACGGCGGGCTGGGGGCTGCCGCCGCGGTCTCGGCACTTCCCATTCGTCAGAGCGAGCTCGGAAAACCGTCATCGATTGTCGGCGAGTGTGTGTGGGTCCGGAGACGCCCCTGACGCCGCCTGGGTCGGTCCCGGCCGGCCCGGCACCGCCGCGCGGCTACTGGGAACTCCCGGCTCGGCCACGGACAAACAGAGGGTGTCAGGGCAGCCGCCACGTCCGCCCGTGCGTCAGCAGCTCGGTGCCGCTGACACATCCGGACATCACCGGGGCCGCCGTCAGTTGCGTCACACTCAGAGCGAGCAACTCCCGATTGCGCGATCATTGGCTTGTGAGATGATTGTGTAATAGGAGTAGGAGCAATTATGAGCGGTTGTATACAGATTACATAGACATCGGTGTCATGTTGGCTGGAGACGGTGGTTGCTGGTGCAATATGCTATATCTCGGACCTTCTAATGATGTAATAATGCGGAATAATTGGTGTTTTCTGATGTAACTGTGCTGTGAGGCGTTGAGATGGGACATTGCAACTAATGAGGACGCAAAAATATAAAATACACGTATTTTATGAAAGAGAGGCCAACATCTTTCGAGTGTCGCCAAGGGTTTTGCGTGCAAACCGTGCCGGTCGGTGGGAGACACTCACCTTGGTAGTTCCACTCATCCAGCGGCGGCAGCGCGAGGGAGGGCGGCAGCGTGTAACGCAGCGCCGCCTCGCGCGTCTCGTCGTTGGACACGGTGCTGGTGAGCGCCTGGGCGGCCAGCAGGTCGCCGCGCGCGCACGCCACGTGCAGAGGCGTGTTGCCGTGCCGGTCCCGGAGACTGGCGTCAGCGCCGGCCACCAGCAGGTGACGACACAGAGCCGCCTGGCCCGTCAGCGCCGCCAGGTGCAGCGGCGTCTGGGGAGCGAGGGAGCTGTGGTCAGGGGTCGGGCCGGAAAACAACTCCGGGGGTAGCACGGCCATGACGACATCAACTTATGGTGGAGTGACTTTGGAGAGTACAATACGCCGGAGGAGTGAAAGAGGAGGCATAAAAACGGATTGAGTGGTCGCGGAAGTTCCATGGACCTCACCGCAACTTCTAACGGTACTGCCAAATTAAATAGATAGCTAAATTAAAAGCGACCGAGTTTTCCAACAGCGCAACGGTGCAGCTCGAGTTCGCGTGACTGAAGACGCCACCGGCCGGTCGGGGAGCGTTACTCGTCAAAAATGCCATGGTGCCGACGGCCTGAATCGGACAGCCATCCTGACTTTCTTCAGTGTTGCCGTTGCGTGTTGGCTATAGCCATGAACTTTGCATTTGGTGTGCCCATTCGAGCGTCTAACGAGCGCGGGCTTCCCCTGTCTGCCTCTCTCCTGCCACGGGAACTCCCTGCCGCCGGCACAGCCGGCCGCGCCACTAACGAGACGCTCCATCGCCCCTCGCAACGAGACCAAACAGCCGCCAATGGGTGCCGCATACGCAAATGTTAACGATGCCTCGTTATGTCTGCGTGACTCCAACAAATGCAGGTGTAGGCATACGTAAATACTGCGGGACATGCCCATTGGCCAGACAAGTTATTCGTCTCAAGACCGGTGTTACGGTCCAGTCCAAGCATTGCAGAACGGTTATTTGACAACAAAACCACTATGGTATTTCAGCATGACCAGAGCTGCGGATCAATGACCCTTGTGATAGGTGGATAAGGAAACCACGAATATGACTGTCGGCGCCAAAACCATACGGTTATAACGGATAACCACACAGCAAAACTAATGGATTTTCCATTGATAAAGCTCTGATGAAATGCGCAAAAATTCATATTGGCTGATGACGCTATCCTACAAATCACAACCGGTTCATAGATAGCAGAATGGACATCCCTAAAAAAGATCAATGGATTAAAATCCACACAAATATGCCGTATATACCGTTACAATACGAAACCCAGAAACGTCAGCAGGGCGCAGCACTCCGCGCGGGCATTCATATCTCGTCAGCTATCGTGACCTCGGGAAAACCGCGGCGGCCTTTCAGCGCGCTGCTATGTCCGTACCTGCATGTAACTGTTCCTCAGGTTCAGGAAGTCGGGGTGCGGCACCAGGCGCACCAGGCAGTCGGCCACTCGCTCGTAGCCGTAGATGATGGCCAGGTGAAGGTGCCTGTGGACAGAGGGGCACGGTCAGCGCCCCACTCGACTGCTTAGACAGCGAGGAGGGTCGTCAGCGCCCTACTCGACTGCTTAGACAGCGAGGAGGGTTCACGGGGTGAGGCGTCAGAATGCATGGGCGGCGACTGAGATCGGACCGTGCCGTGGCTCGTCCCGTGTCTTTCCGTCCGCGATGACCCGACAAGCCGTGTCGTGAGTTTGTCGTGAGCGGCGTCAGCCGTCACCGATCAGGTGGGCGCCCATGTCAGACAGGCGGGCTTTCCTGTGGCCGCGGTGGCGCCTTGATGTTGGGCGCTGCGGAGTGCTGCTGCCAGTCGCGGTGCACGGAAATCCCGCACAGAGAGAGCCTCCAGAACGGTGCTCTTCGACCCCGAGTGGATGGGGTCGGCTGCAGCGAGCGCCGCCGGCAGAGCGGGCATATTGACCGAGCGCAGGAGCGCCAGGCCACCTGAATGCCCTCCCCTCGCCACGCAGCGCACGGCACCCTTATCGCGCCGCGCTGCGCCACCACAGCGCGGTGTCCTGTTTGTTTTTGGCTTTCCCAACCGACTGGACGACCTCATTCAGGCGGCATTTTCCTGTGGCGACACGGCAGCCGCCGGCGCCGGTGACCGGGCCGGCCTTGACCCGCGCCCGGTCCGCGCGAGAATGGCGCGGGATTTCCGCGGGAGGCGGGCGCTGCACGCCGGTTACAGCCGGGAATCCCAGCGCACCTGCGAGCTGCCGCGGCGGCGCCCGTCTTTCCTCGGCCGGCGGGCCATGAGCGGCCGCTCCGACACACAGCCCCGCCGGCCGGCCGGCCGTTCCAGGAGGGAGCGGCCATCGGCGGCCGCTTTCCGGCCAGCAGCTCCGCCACCGGGTAAAACGGTCTTCGTGCCCGGTAAGGAGGATGCCTCAACAGTTTTGCATGTAGATTGTAGGGCTCGTACGCGACTGGCCAGGTGATGGTACCGGGCGAGGGAACCGACCAGAATTACCCGGAATAGCCCGCAACCGGCGAAGGGAAAGACAAAATTTCCAACAACCCACATGTGACTCACGAAGGAATGCGTTTCAATTAGACGTTTTAGAATTTCCGATCGACGCTTCTGGAACCGGCAGACGACATGCACATTAACACCAGGAGGGCCCATAAACATGGGCTAAAGCCTACGTAATGAGACAGCTGGTGCGCCAGCTGTAACATCAAGCTAAACAGTATGGAAATCAGGCTCGCTCGCTGCGAGGCGGCTCAATAATTCTAACGTGGCCAGTGGTCACCGCCTGACAATCTAAAGTTACAAGCACAAAGGCGATTGACCTTATGCAACGACTAGAAAAGCTGGTTAGGTATATAATAAGATTTAAGAGGAAACGTTACACTTCAAATGAAGCTTCCTAAAAACGGGTTCCTAACATACATTTCTCACTAGCAGGGTTTAAACACATCAATTATCAGCTAACTCTTTTTAAACGGTTAACACATGATACCGTTTGGGAACACTACGATTTGTAACAGTGCCCCACGCCCATTTGATATCACCCAATCAACCCTTCCAATGTAGTATTACTCACGTGTCTCCGTCCTCGTCGCCTCGGAAGGCCTCCTCCAGGGCGGTGATGTAGCGCTCCTCCCAGAGTGCCCGGTCGGCGGCGTCCAGACGGCCCTCCTCCAGCTGCAGGCCGCTCAGCTCCTCGCTCAGGCGGCTGGCCTCCTCCCCGGCGTCACTGGGACGCGCCGTCGCCTCCTTGGGGTACCGGTAGCCGGCCGGAGGCGGAGTGGTCGGCGACAGGTGACCCGAGATGAACCCGCTGTCCAGAATCTGGTCCAGCGACGCTGGCGACTCGCACGTCTTGACGGGTAGGTGCCGAGAGCGTGCCGAGAAGAAGGCCGTGCCGCGGGAGGGTGGCGGGGCGCAGTCAGCCACCGCGTGCACCGCTCCTCTTCCGTTTACACTCACTCGCCTAGACATGACTACAAAACACTGGTTGTTCAGCTGACCGAGTCCGTTACCGGCTGACCCGGTTGGTATCGTGAACACAAGCGTAGACTTCACGTCTTGCACCGGAGCGTCGGCAGTCCTCACAACAGCTCGCCAGAGTGCGTACTGAGCCGTCCGAGGCGCGGCGCGCGCCTATACAGACTCGGCTGGGAATCCCGGCGCGCGGCACCGGCCCCGAGCGCCACCGAGCGGCGCGAGGTCGGGACGGCCGGGTCGCGTCGGGGCCGGGCCGCAGCGGCGGCGCTTCGTCGGACTTACCCTGCAGGGCAGCGAGGGACGGCTGGGAGGGGCCCGGGGGATGACAGCGACGGGGCGGCCGCCGGCGGGCACTCACGGGACATCCCGATCGGGAGGCGGCCGGCAGGGCAGGGAGGTCGGCTGACTCGGTACTGGGAGGTCCTGGACCCTGGTGTCAGTTCGGCGGATACCGAGCCGCCCACTGCAGGGACGCTCTCTTAGTCAGAGAAATCACTGGGAGAAATTGTGTCGCGTTTGTACGAGCACGGCAACATTTACCTACCTCGCATGGGGGCTGTAATACTTTATTTTCTAATTTCTAACCCTAACCGGCCGAGGGGAGGCTGAAAAACGTATGGGGGCGACACCCACGCGTTTTTTTTTTGTGATTGCTCGTAACACGCAGGCAATAGAGCTGACATTTGGCACAACTAGCCATTAATTCAAGCCTGATCTTTTGACACAAACCGTATTTCCTGGTGTGATATGGACCATATTTGTCCAGTTCGAAGTCGTGTCAAGGTCAGGTCAGGTGAGGTCAAATATCGACGTTGATTGTTAAAACCCAAAAAGTTGTCTTTTTGAATGTTTTTGATGCAGTTTTCACGACGAATCGAATGATGCATTCCCGTACAAGCTCTAAAAATATGTGCGTCGTGACTTCACTTAAATTTGAATTACTCCTACATTTTTAACCGATTCTTTTAAAAATCGGAATGTAGGTGCATGGATCGTACTTTACTAACATATAATCCGTTTCCACTTTTTAGAACAGCAAGAGAGGGACAGCAAGAGAGAAAAATGCATGTTTAACCCATTATTCCCGGGGCGAAAAGCTATCAGAACAAAATCAGCTGCAAAACGTATTCCCGTATTAGTCGACCGAATCTTCCCCTCCATATGACTCATCGTACCCCATGAGCACATTGAGGCCCATGAGTACTTTGCAGCCAAGGTTGCAACTTGCGACAGCGTATGAACAGTGGAGTGCTAAAACAAGCTTGTTTCGATCGTATTACCGTATAAGGGTACTTATACTTATGACTAATGCCTTGGGATTCACCTGGACATTTGCAATTACTAGCTAGCATGGTGCACCATATAACGCATGAAGATGCATTAAAATATATTGGAATACGAGGGTGGCAGTCCGTTTCCGATTGTCTCCCACTGTCTCCCGTCATTCTGACAATTCCAGCACATGGATGGATGCGTCACTATTCCGTCGACTTCCGTAAGTGCCACACGGTTCTCGACACGAGCAGGTTTACTGAACCAACTGCAACATTTCCCCCATTTCCCTGGTGATACCGACATGCGGTTGCGACCAGTTTCAACAATGCTCGGACAAGGTAAAGCGGGGGAAATAACGATTAATAATTGGGGCTCAGAAACTAGGAAGATGCAGTGTTCCCGTTTTTGCGTCAGAACGCGGGAACCCCAGGGGGATCGGCTCGATCTGCCTCGACCTTGCAGGCGCTCAGACGTTAATAATCTGCAGGGTCCGTCCCAACTCTCACTGTGGTGAAAACCACCGCTATGTAGCGACTGGCGTGCTGGGTAACGGTGACGTTTTTTTCTGTGCTAATAACAATCGCTTTATTAAGAAATTTTAGTGTACTGCAGGGTTCCGAGGCACAGCAACCCTGCATTGTGTTGTATAGTCTCTTTTCGTAAGCGCAAACTGCGAGTTTCGTAAGCGCAAGGCAGTGAGTTCAAGTCCGAGCAGGGAAATTTTCTTAAGTCCTCCCTCCTCAGTCCACTGCTCCCAATGTTACAAACAGGCGCGTTCACCAATGACCACCGAGAAGAACAACTCTAATGGCCAATATCAATTTTTCTGGGGTTTCCAACAATATTGATCTGTCGCTTGTCATTTGCACATGAGCATATAAAGATCGGCCAGACATCGCAGCGATAGCGAAAGGAATATCCACTAACCACTGTTCAGCCCTCACGCCGGAAATAAAGCAAATGAGCCATGTAAATTGGAATGTCCCGAACGTGGACAACGCCGTTCACCGGATGTTCACCTTGGACATCACATGAGGGACATCACATGAGCCTACTATTCTGCGTGTCATTGTTCATATTCTAAAATGATAAAAATAAATCCCTATGAAAATGATAGGCAGGTTTATTACCAAAATATAAAACTAGAAAAGAGTAGATAACAGCTTCTGCCTTCTACCCTCGATCGTCGCCTACTGCAAATCTTTCTAGAAATGACATTTCATTTTATGACAATGTGAATTCAACTTCCCTACAACGGCGCTGACCCATGTGTGTAAAAGTGTGCATTTTTTACAGAACACAGGCCGAGGACTTTCCTCTGCAGATTCTGCGAGAATCGAGATTGCAGTTTGCACTGCTTTTTATACAACAGCGTACCTAAATGATAAAATTGTCGTATTTTTCCCCAAGCACTTCCACTGTGCATACCTACATACCATCAGCAGCACCCCTGAAAATATCAAAGAAGAAAAAAGAGACAGCTTCAATAGAAAAACAGCCAACGACAGCTTCGGGCGGCGCCCACCATATAGGTAAGAGCCTTGTTGGGATTAAGGGTATCTTTTCAAACAATTAGTTCACTTCCTCCCAGCTAGCGCTGTATGCGAATAACTAACAACTAATAAAAGTGTGGCTGACAAATCGAGGGTGTTCCAAGAGAACGTTTTTTTTTCCCTTAGCTGAAACTGCTGGTCCCCTGCCGAAAATACGAGATTGCATAGCTTGTTATACAACAGCATAAATGATAAAACTGTCACATTTTCCCCCAAGCACTTCCTCTATGGGTACCACCGACTGCACCCCTGATACAGTTGAACAATCCCATTCCGGCCAGGAAAGACCCCGGTCGCGGGGCGGGGCTCCTCCCGACCTCTTCAAAGGGGCACGGCGACCGGCTGTCAGCGCTTAGTCACCAGCTACACTCAGATTTCAGAATCATGGGACCATAGTTGAGGCCTATAGCTGGCCCGATACAAATGCATCAGTGCCAGCACACTTGTTTCTCAACGCTTCCCCCGTACTTCCGGCACGGTACTTCCCGCTAAGCAACTAATGAATAGTTTCCAATCATAAGAAAATTCCTATATGGTCAGTAAAAAAGGAACTTGAGGGAGTGTCCCTCCCAGCGATTCTCTGCGCGGGAAATCTAGCACCGTATCCCTCTATATGCAGAACAAGCGGTACCTGTCGACGCCGTCATGCCGTGCACGGCCGGCAGAGCCGCTGCTCATGGGCGGGCTGCCCTCAGGTCTGTGCACCGCCATATGGCCTCAGCTGATCGTGGCTGGGAAGTCCATCCAATTAAGCCCGGGCCTACCACAGCGGTGAGCGTCAGTTATAAGGTGCGTCAGTGTGGTGCAAAACGGGCGATACCCGCGCCGAAAGGGAGCTGGGATAGTTTCATTAGCCGTGTTTACATAGGGTTCCCTTAATCTTCCCCTATTTCTCCCCTATTTTCAGATCGAATTTTAGGCATCATAGCGATCGCGTGTAACGTTGCTATGGGCGCTATTGTTGTTAGAAGCATACAAAGCATCGTTTATGCTGTAAACAATATAAATTGGGTTTATTTAATACTTGAAATTCAACAATTCATATTTTGAAGTATTTTTATCCTGCCCTTCAATTCCCTCTTTAAGCGACAAATAGGGGAGGATTTGGTAGCGTAGCGCCTTTCCAAAAGCTGCTACGCTACCATATCCAGTGGTTCTCAAACTACCATATCACAAAAGCGGCATGCTGATTGGCCGGCAGTTCCGAATCGTCCTACTGGTGGTCCCCGACTCGACAAGCGCACGTGCGCCGACTGAGGATTTTTAAGTGGCATTAACGCATAAACGGCAGAAAGTCAAGGGAGAAATTCAACAGAAATTCGACAGGTGCGGTGTTCTGATATTGCCGTGGATGTGATTACACCTACTTGAATAATAGCTCAGCCGTTAAAAGTATGTTAAATGCCAGATAGTTTTCTGATTTTTCTTGCTTTGAGCTTTCATGTGCTATCACTTTTACCTCAGTGTCTAGTCTGGAAGCTATTTGGGAGAGCCCTAAAGGTAAGCAAAGATTGCAAACTGCTTCTAGAATGACTTAGTTGCGCCATATTTGTAGTGAAGCGAGGTAAAGGAGACAGAGGATTCCTTTATAAGGGACATTTAAGAGACAAATAGGGGAGGATTAAGGGAACCCTATGTAAACACGGTTATTGTTGCTGTTATCGGCGAGCTCAAGTGCGCTATCAATGAGTGAGTGGGTAGGACGTATTAAAGTTGCTGATCATCCGCTATCTGGCGAGGTTCATAGGGTCGCTGTGCTTGGACGCTTGTATTAGAAGAGGCATTTAAACAAATCGGCTGTAGTCTGAAGTACATGCTGTCCTCTGGCTATATGCCACCTAGATGGGTATATATAATATACCTATTCGGATTTTGAACTCGGGAGTCGGGACACCCCCATCGTATACATAAGGGAATTTCTATCATAACCTTCTATCTCATATTACCTGGATCACTTGCGATAACATGCCTATCTACGTCTACATGCGTTTAGTTATACAGGAGAGTGAACACTTACCTGCGAATGCCCCCGTAAATCGTAATGCAATTAACGGTGCCGTAAGCAACATGAACATAGCACAACACGCGTCGCAAAAAGCTACGACTCAGCCATCCGCATTCTGCACATTATATGCAGGAGCCAAACTCAAAATCGTCACGGTCCAGACTCAGAGACGGTAAATCGTGATGCAAATAAGCCAACGTTCATGCAAATGGCCATACAAATCCTCTAAGCTGTCGAGGACGGTCTTGGTAGGCTCTCAGGACCTTACGTGTTCTCGCGCCCTCCGGAAGCTTTGGTATTTCACCCACTATTTGGTTCTGGACGGTAGTTTGAACATTGAATAATCATCTTTATGTTTACATGATTCATGTTATCAATGTCATCTACCTGAATTATCACACCTGGGCCAATGCCAGGGCAATTCAACGCATGAATCAGATAAAAAGGTAAAAAGGTACTTATACCAGTAGATCACCAAAGATTAACCTATCGAGCTTCATCCCATAAATTCTCACAAAAACGGCACTGTTCGGTATTTACCCTGAATGACGCGTCAAAAGACGTCTAATGACTAATCGAATACTGTTAACCCGTGGTCCTCTCGTCGAGACACGTCGAATGAACTATAGGTTGAACTTGAAAGATCATATTGAAAATTTGATCTCAGGTCAAGGTCATTAACTGACTAGAAAGGGTCATGTTGCATATCAGTCGATCTGTATCGTCGAGCTTAACACATCTGAAGTGTTTCCACCGCTCTAGCACGTCTCTATCAAAAGTTATAGTAAAAAAAACTGCTGGTGACCTTTCATGAGCTGAGATAACCTCAGGGGCACAGAGGGGCCACAGGTGCAATTT